GTGGGTGTGGGTGTGGGCAGGTGTGGGTGGGTGTGGGTGTGGGCGTGGATGGGTGTGGTGTGGGTGTGGGTCTGGGTCTGGCTGGGCGTGGTGTGGGTGTGGGTGTGAGTGTGGGTGGGTGGGGGTGGGGGTGGGTGTAGACGAATCTTTTGTGCACCCACACCCCACACCCACACCCACACCCACACCCACACCCACACCCGCACCCACACCCGCACCCACACCCACACCCACACCCACACCCACACCCACACCCACACTCGCACCCACACCCGCACCCACACCCACAGTCACACCCACACCCACACCCACACCCACACCCACACCCACACCCACACCCACACCCGCACCCACACCCACACCCGCACCCACCCACACCCTCCAAATACGATGCATTAAGCACTTGCTCATATTGATTCTCGACTGATACACTGAAAAATGGTCGCTGTAAGCTTACTGCTTCGTTCATAAGCGAAAGTCCACCATTGGCAATGACACCTTTGGCACGTGCTAAGTCATCCGGAAAACCTTGTTCAAAAAAAACCTTTGAATTCTAGATTACCAATTTTTTCTTCGCGACCGAGTCCGTAAATAATACATTTTTCACCAAAAGCTTGTAGTATAAAGATAAGAGACGTGTCACTCTTACTACTTTGATAAACAAGAAAATGTTCACCATGTTCAGCTGGTAATGGTTTCGCATCAAGAATAGCCTGACGAAGAATTGGTGGAACAAGCATTTTTTAGTTTTGTATTTATGACGAATTTCGAGAGTAAAAAAACCAGTAATAATGTATTGGTCACACTTTGGAAGTTGGACTCTGACAAAACCTTTATATGTATTGAATACCTTTGGATTTGATTCTTCAGCTTCGTCTGGAATTAAACATCGTTGCACAACGTGTTGATTATCGATCGAAGGAACGGGAAGTCCATGTGATTCAGCAAACATGTAAGCGAAACTGTCAAAATCACTAATAATGGCATGAGGCTTCCAAAAAAACAAGATTTTGGTAATATGCACTCATATTTTTCTGAAGCATATTTGGCATACGTTGCATGGTGTGTAATACTGAAGCTTTTTCATCAAATACATTATTAATATATTGCATTGTTAAACCTTCGATTTCAACTATATCTATTGCGGCTTCACCTTCCTTCGCTGTGACACAACGTGGAAATCGATTTGAAAAACTGTCATGAAGAAATTTATATGCACGATTACTCACTAGCACTTTGACATGATGTTATTCCATCATAAGCATTTCAAGAACGACTTTAGATCATGTTGCGTGTTCCATCCCTTCACCTAGGACGCCATAAAGAATATGCATTGTCTTGGATTTTGAAGGTTGAACAAAAGGTAATAGTGCTAAATGAACGATACGATTAGCTTCTTCTTGTATAGTTTCAACATTCTTATCATCACCAATTGTAACAGAATTAATCTTGATATTTGTATCAGAGGTGGGATCGGTTGGCATTTTTGCCAAACCGAACCGACCGTAACCGAAAAAATCTCTAACCGAACCGAACGTAACCGACCGAATTTTTTAAAATTTCTAACCGAACCGACCGTAACCGAAAAAATCTCTAACCGAACCGAATGTAACCGACCGAATATTTAAAAATTTCTAACCGAACCGACTGTAACCGACCGAATTTCAAAAATTTCGTAATCGAACCGAGTTTAGAGAAAGCGAAGTTTAGCTTATTTTAGTTAGGGTATTAGTGCTTTATAAATTAGCAACAACAAATCAAATAATAGCAACTAAAAATAATGAACACTTAGAGACAGCAAAGAATAAAGATTATTTATTGGATCTTCTTACTGTATTATAACTTCCTTACCTCTCAGGGCAAATTTTAAAAATATGTGAGATAATCCGCGTTGCGAGCAACAGCTAGTTGTTGTACGATTATATTCTTTTTTCTTCTTATGTTTCACTGAAAAAGTCCATTGAACTCAAATGAAACAATTATGTTGATTCTTTCTAACCGAACCGAACATAACCGACCGAATTTTTTAAAATTTCTAACCGAACCGACCGTAACCGAAAAAGTCTCTAACCGAACCGAACGTAACCGACCGAATTCTCTAAAAATCTCCAACCGAACCGATTTCGGTTACGGTCGGTCGGTTCGGTTCGGTTAAAAACCGAACCGGTCCCATCTCTGATTTGTATTACTAAATTGTTTATTAAAATGATCAATAAATTGATGTAATGCAATTTTTGATGAACAATCCTGAAATAATTCCAGTCAATGATTTCAATCTGGAATTTTGATCATTCATTTTACCATAAACATTAATTACACAACTAGAAGGAGATTTTTGAAGCAAAGGTATAAATACCTTTGATATAGTCAATGTATCAAAAAATTCTTTTGCTTCAAATCCTTGAGGTGACATGATATTTATTTTAAATTGGTCATTATCAAGTAAGATTCCAACATTAATTAATATATCTAATTTTTCGAACTGTTCCTCAATTTTTTCAATCACTTTGTCAATTGTTTTAAGATCAATAGTATCAAGTACAATAAATTTAGGTTCGATATCTTCATCGTTCAATGTTTTGATTACTCGTTCAAGTTTATTTGAATTGTTCGCACAAAATAAAACACATATATCATTTTTTTCCTAATTGATAGCCTATTTCATCTTCTAATTCATGACCTGTACCAATAATTAAAGCGGCAATCAATGATATTTCAACAGTTGAATGATCTAAAAGTAGATATACTAACTTACATGTGCACCTCGTTTATAAACCATCTCCTTTCTTTTCTAGATAATTCTTTTGAGAAGAAATCATTGTAAAAATAAGATTCTATTTCTTGTTCTATTCATTAACAAGTTAATATGGATACTTCTGTAGATTACGCACCCCCTTTACCCTCACACAGTACTGTGCCAGTCAATGTGTATACAAGGTATGAATAATCTGAAGAACCCTAATATGTTTGTTCTTCGCCGTTTATGCATAACGAAATAGCCTGCAAAAAAAAGGGTACATGTGCAGAACAAGCACAGCATTATTAAAGGATGGTGTGGGTGTGGGTGTGGGATGGGTGGGTGTTTTGATGTCAGTGTAGGTGTAGACTCAGAAAACACTCTTACTCACATACCCACCCACACCCACACTCAGTTCCACCCACACCCACACTCAGTTCCACCCACACCCACACTCACTCCCACCCACACCCACACCCACACCCACACCCACACTCACACTCACACCCACACCCACACCCACCCACACCCACTCACACCCACCCACACCCACTCACACCCACCCATACCCACACCCACATCCCACACTCACACCCAAACCCATGCTTACGCTCAAAGTCTCACTCAGCCACACCCACACTCTAATATAATAAGATCATAAATATTCACAGTCACATCCGTAATGAATATGCTTATATTTTATTAGGTTCTCGAATTGAATTTTCATGATTAATTGATATTTAAGGAAAAAGTAGCTTATGATTGCTTTTCGTGGCGAGAAAAGAAATTAGTGGAAACACAAAAAAACAACACTGTTTTAGTTGGATTATGTTATTGATTTGTTTTTTTCAATGTTGATTGAATACTGTGTTTTACCAGAGAGTCCTTGTATTTTAATCCATGCTTTATAGTATTCATGTTCTAATGTTGTTGTGAAAGGAATCTTAATATCGGTGTAGTAATAATTAACAAGTTTCTTCGATTTAAATTGTGTAATTTCATGAGCTAAATAATTCATAATTTTTGATTTATTGTACGCATCTATTTTTTCATTTAAAGCGAATTCTGTTAAAATTTTTAATACTTCATAAACTTTTACGGCACTTTCACTTTTTAAATATACCATTAAATCATCAATCAATTCATCGGGTGTTAAACGAATGAGAGGAACTCCAATGATCGAATATTCTTTCACAACATTTTCATCAAATAATGTGTTCATAGCATTGATAATTACTTGGCGATCAGACTGTTCCATTGCTGAAAGTAATACAAAAGCATTACCTCGTGCTGGAAAATATGGATGATAATTAAGCATTTTCACCAACAATTGAATCATTTGACCTTTATTAAAATTTGAAGCATTTGTTATTTTTCTGTATAAATAATCTTCTTTTTGCACACAAGCAGAAACCAACGATAATAAAGTTTCAGATAGGATCAATTCAAATATAGTATCATTAATATCATTAAAATTTATCATTTTGAGTATTAACCAATGAATTAAATTTTCCATCAAAATTATATTTATCGAAAAATTACTCAATAAATTTAAGATTGTTTTGTTAACATCATTTGAAACAGTAAAATTACAACGACTGATATGTTTGATTTGCTCGTAACTTTGTTGTGAAAGATCTTCAACTTTAACTGTCGTCTGAATGATTAAAATCGATTCAAGATGTTCAAAATATCTTTTATCAGTTATGATTGTTGAAGCAGAAACTTCATTAAGAATTAGTTGTATCAGTTCTATATCTGTACGTGAAAAGTATACATGTTGACGAAATTGACGTGTATCTGTCGCTGCTAGTAATCTTGTAAATTCAATCCAATCATCTTCTGTAATCTGAGAAAATCTTGATAAATTCATCGCAGAATGGAGTACTCTTTCTATATAGCATGAATGTGAAGATGATTTTAAATTTTGTATTATTGAATTCCAAGTATGATTATTTATGAAGTAAAGTTTATCGAGAAATTGGATTCTTCTTCCACTAATCGAGTTTCTTTCTTGTAATTGATGTACGTTTTGACATAAATTGTGAAAACTTGTAGGATCATCCCATAGAAAATCATAGAAAAATGAATGGAAATAAGCACGAACTCTTGGAAGATGCTCTTTTACCAAAGTATGTTCAAGGATTTTCATCATTGTTTTTTCTCCAAATACAGATAATCTCTTACTTGGTTCCCTAACATCTCTTTCTGGGTGTTGAAATATTCTTTGAGCTCTATATCTCATTTGATCATTATCGTTTTCTAGTAAATCTATAATTATATCAACTGCTGGCTCAAAAATATGTTTTATTTCTGCTAGTAAAAGAGCTGATAGTTTTTTAATTTGATGGCTATTATCATATTGAGTAAACCATCTCTGAACAATCGGTAATACTTCATTGGACGGTTTTATAATATAGGGGAAAAGCATTGATATATCATTTTCTTTTCCTTTTTGCATTAATTCATCAATAATAATAGCTATTTGTGGTGTTAAAAATATTTCATCATGTAAACCAATGTTTAATATCTTTTCTATATTTGACTGATTATCAGTATTATTAAAAAGATAAATCCATAATTGATCTATGCTATCAGTTTTATTAATAACTAATTTTATATCATTCAATTGTGAAAACAATACAAATAAAGATTGAAGCTCTGTATTATTTACACGATCAGCAATTTGTTTGTTAGTATTCTCATTTTCTAAATTTTGATTTATATTTCTATTTAAGTTTGATTCAGGAAATTGGAATGTTTTATTAAATAATATTCTTCCATAATGAGAATTGACAAAATAATAATGCATTTTATTCTTGAGCATTTCTATGATTCCGTTTAGCTTGTTTAAAAGATCATCATAAATACTAATTATTGGTTTCAGTTTAATGATTAATTGGATTTTTTCGTTATCTTCCTCCATTCGGCTAAGTGTTTCTATTGCAATAGTTAAATACTTTTTTCGAAATTCACCTGATCCATAAAATGATAATCTTATCGATGCAATAATTCGATTATGAAGACCATCAATATCATCAAATATTAAAATTAACTCGTCAATAATCTTTTGTATGAAGACTTTGCGATCTACTTCCTTATAATGAACAATAGTAAAAATCCTTTCTAATACTTGAAACTTTAAAGTTGATTCTTGAATGTTTTTTGTTAACATAAAAGATTCATTTAACAATTCAAAACTTTTTTCATCATAAAATTCAGCTAATTGAATCAATGCTCTTGATTTATAATAAGGATCACACATAGATTGAATTCGTTCCAATAAAAATTCTTTCACATTTGATTTTTCTACTAATTCAGGTAGTAATTTTTTATAAATTCCAAATCTATCATATTCTTTTGAAAGAATTCCAAAATGTAATAATACAACTAATGGAATCAATTCTGGATTTTTATTGAAATATCCTTTCTTAAGAAAATTTTCAGCAATGCTATCAGCTAAATACGCTATTTTTGTATGAACACTCTCTAGACAGTTGAACAATGCTATTGGTATATCATTATTATTATTTAATTTAAAAGTAAATATATCTGTTATCCATGAATATCCTCGAACTGGTCTATAGATTTGAATCGTATCACTAATATTTAAAAATGATTGTATAATTTGATCAGGTTCACTTGATGCAATACATTTGTCACATAATAAAGCAACTTGATATTGAAAATCAGTAGCGGCACCAGTAATTTGAAAAGCAAAGTATTCTGCGTATAAACTATATTTATCTTCAATATTATCTACAGTCTCTACAAGTGGCCTGGTATCTATTGGTAAACTCCCACTATTGGCTAGTATCGATAAATATATTTTGCAATAATATAAAAAATTAATATCAGACAGTAACTTATTTGTTTTCATACAATTATAACTTTCAAGTAAATAGTTGGAAATATGCGAAGACCATCTTGCAATTGGATCTTTTAAAATATCAATAAGTTGTTCGATTCTATTTCTCAAGTTTTTAATGAACGTTTCTTCTTTTTGTGCTATGACAGTATTAATGAAGTCAAAGTCACCTAAAACAATTAACGCGATAGATATTTCTACTTTTCCACTAATCGTTAAGTTTTGACTGTTAATTTGTTTGCGTAAGTCTTCTGTTAATTCTCTTGCAGATTTTTTGTCTTGCAATAGTTTTAGAATTTGATTCGTCAAAATTGATTCTTTGTAAATGTCATTTTCATCAAATAATGGCTTTTCACTCCAACGATTCTTGGCTACTTTTGTATCAAGATACACAGCCATACTATAAGCTGCATCATCTCTATCCCAAATTTCTTGATAGTAAAAAGTGAATGGTGTTCTTTCAATAGAGCTTAACTCTAGAAAGTGTGCTATTTCATAATATTCTGAGATACTTGATTGAGTTCTATAATTTTTATAGCCTCCGTAAAGAACTGTGATTAAAGGTAGCCATGTATCACTATTTATGATAAAATTGATTAGTTCTGGTTGTTTTCTTATCAAATTTTTAAATTTTAACTGAGTTAATATGTATTCGTCTTTAATGTCATTTGAATAAAATCGTAAAATTGAATCGATTGACCAGTTCCAAATTATAGAATCATTGTATAAATTCTTTAAGAATATTTCATGAAATTTTCGTTTATACCATTTCATATGATAGATAATATTAGCACATGCAGCAACATGATCTTCATGATTTATCTGTTTAATAAACCATTCTACCATTATATTATCATATTTTCTTTTCAATTTTAAAAAATAGGATTGAATCAATTCCTGATGTTCTTTTAAACGTGAGAAACCAGACATATTTTCATAATCAGACAATAGCATATCTGCTAAATATTGAATCAATTCATGTTCGGTATGTTTTGATGAAAAATACATGTCATTTAATGAATCAATGATAACAAATGGTACTAGCAATGTAGAAGATTTCATATTAAATGAAGTTTCTTCATCTTTTAATAATCTTTGAATAATATTGTTAAATAATAGATCATGTTCAGTTGATTTACTTAGAATTCCTAATGTCATACTGAGAGGTACTCTCCAATTCGGAATATTAATTTTTTTATGAATATTGTCATAGATCATATCTTCAGATTGTTCGATTCCATAACGAATAATAATATTTTTAGCTGCAAGATATTCTTGAAATGTACGATGAATAAATCGAAAACTATTATGACCAAATTCATTGAGTAAACCAGCTTGATATTTAAAAATATCTACAAGTTTAGTAATTAATTCATCAATATTATCTTCTAGAATTTGTAATGCTTCCTTTTGATGATTTAATAAACATTCTCTTATTATTTTTTTTAACATTTCCTCTGATAGACCTTCAACTTTACTATGAAGATATTCAGCTATCTGTTGTAATATTGACCAAAGCATAGTAGTATTTAGTTGAAAATTATTGTCCAGATAATTTGTTGGACTATCAATATAAAGTTTCACTAATCGTTCTATCATTGTTTCAATGGCTTTTTCATACAAATCAATTCTTTTCTCAGGTAATTGACTTTCACATTGATTATAAACTGCAGCAATTACACTAGCTAATTGTGGATTAATTGCCAAATGGAAAATATCTTTGTTTTGAATTATCTCATCATATAATTGATCAATATTAGTTTCTTTCGCAAATCTTCTATTATCAGCTGAAATCTCGTTTATACATTTCATATATGAGCTACAAAATAATTTGAGAGCATCATTAGACATATCTTCAATAGTTAATCTTGGAATAAAAAAATTGATATCTTCAAAATAATTTCCCTCAATACGACTTGTTATGATAAATCGATTTCCAATATTAGGATCTCTAGTATTATGTATTTGTTTTTGTTCATAAACTGAATAAGTAAGTTTATCATACATAACATCATAATCTATTCCTCGTTCTAATAATGTATTAATTTCCTTTATTAAATCAGATTGATCAATATGAACAGGAACTTCATCTAAACCTTCAAATATAACTAAAACATTTCCTTCTATCAATGATTCTTTTATTAAATCTGATAATTGCATTTGTTCTTCATTATTGAACAATGTTGAATTAAAAGTAGGATTTTCATAAATAAATTGAAGTAAAGTAGATTTTTTTTCATTATGATTTTCTTTTATTTGATTAACATATTTCCATATTGGAATTAGAATTGGTATTTTTTCTTTATTTGAATAAATATGATCAAATAACATATTCTTCTCATGTAAACACTGTTTAGCCATATTGATAACCAACCATTTTGATAGTGTAGTTTTACCTGAACCAGGATGCCCTAAAACTATGAAATGTTTAAATTTATTGTATGCTTGTTGAATTCGATATTGTCTTCCTTCATTAAAATTATTTTGTTCCAGAATACTTTTCTTTAACCGATTCATTTTAGTTTTGATAGTTTCTACTTCATTATCAGTAAATATGTTTTTGTTGTTTAACAAGATGTTTAACCATTGATCAATCATGAAGTCTCTACCACATATTTCAGAATTAAAAGCATTTTTCTCTAGGATAGCTCTATTCAGTTTCTGTCTTTCATATTCATTAAAAAAGCCAGGAGAGAAAAGTTTACGTTTAAATTCTTCAGTAATTTCCAACATTTGCATTGCTCTAATTGATGGATGTGTGGGATCGAATTTTAATTCAACATAAACACTTTCCAAAGGTAAACTCATGTTAGTATTAGAATATCCGAAAATTGATACATATGCATATTCATTGATAAGATAATTCAAATATTTTTTCCGAACAAATTCTTTGTTATTGATTAATGATAAATTTTCACGTATTAATGATGTAAATGATTTAAGATTTTTCACAAATTGTATTAAATCTTCTGCGTTGTTACCATATTGAACTTCTTTAATCATATTCAAAAATGAAATGTTTGATATATGATGAAAGATATTATTCTTATTGGATTTAACAAGTTTATACATAGCCGATGGTTTGTCATCTGTTATATAAAATATCCATTTTAGAAGATTATGAAAAGTCGGATCAGACATTTCACTATCATATCCGATAAATAGCAACGTTTTTGTTTTGATAATTTCTCTCAGTCTTGATAACTTAGATTTATTTTCAAGAAGTTGAGAATAATCATAGCTACTGAAAATTAAACTATCTATATCGCCACAATGTCCATATATATGTAGAATATAATCTTTGAAGTTCTCTAATGAATGATCAATACTATTCGTATAATATTCATTCCAACTTAATAATTTTTTATCAAGTACTTCTTCAAGCGATGAGTCATAGTTGGTTGTTAAAATTGGACACTCTAATTCTCCAATAGTTTTAATAAGTTCCAATCTTTTAGCTGATATATTCCTCATAGTTTCTTTTAACCATGTTTTGAAAAGATCTTCATTTGTCTCATCGTTTTCCATCTGGAAATAAGCCTTTATTTGATCAGCAGCAAGTAAATAGTCATCGACTTCTGCCGTGCCATTATCGAACTTGATTTTGAAACTCTCAACTTCTTCGCCATTCATCCATCCTGAGTGGTAAAATTGTTCTAATCCATGTTTCACTAATGCTTTCCAATCAGGTACTTTTTGTTCATCGTTTGTTGTATAAATAGATACAGCTCGGCCAATAAATATCACAACATTGTTTAAAGCTATATCATTTTTAAGTTTTTGAATCGCGTCAACCATTTATTCAGTTTATCGCTTGAAGTTTACGTGCAGTTAAAAATCAATACAACAATAACGAATGTTATAGACAAGCAAAATGATCTAAATGAACGATTACTTATTTTTCGTACGAGCGAATTTTATTTTGTGTAATAAAGAAAAATGCTTACCTTTTCAAACGTAGTTGAATATAATTTGAAGATGTAGGATCCCACCTAAAGTAATTATGAAAAGATAATTTTTAAATTTTTACGACAAAACTATTAAGGGCTTAGGCTTCGATGCAACTATTCTTATTTTTGTAATATCGGTATCATTTGTAGTAAACTAAACATCCTAAACATTTAATCAGACAAACAATAAAAAACTAAGAAGGCGAAAATGCGTTAACATATACCTAATGTTATATATTCATATCTCACTAATTACACCCACACCCTTCTGTAGCTGAATAGAAATTTTCTAAGACTTCTAACTTTCTACGTACATTATGTTCCGAGAAATTCTCAAGGAAAAATCTGAATAACTGTTTTAATTTCAAAATGGTCACATAAGACAAAAATGCACGTGTCTGCAGGGATATTCATGCATGAAGAACTTTAAGAATTACAATAGTGCCATGAACTAAAACATTGCAAAAATTACATGTACCAGCAGCAAAAGACAGTGAGAAATTTTTCTAGATGTAAATTGTTAATTTTCTTCATGTATTAAGATTATTTTAGGAGCTTTTAACTAGAACCAAACGATATTTTGAACTAACAAAAGTTTACAAATTGAAAAAGCCTTCTTTTCTATTTCGAACACTCACCTGTATATGTTTGCAGTACGCTTGAGTATGACTTTCTTCAAAAGAAAAAGTAAATTTCTTTTTTATTGCTTTGTAAACTTTTTTCTTCCTCTCTCGGTAGTTTTCGGCACACATGGCAGCTACTTACTCATGACAAGAGTAGCTGTCAATTTGCAAACATATCTTTTTTACTTTCCAACCAACATTCATAGAGAAGCAAGCGAATGTGGGTAGAGGCGTGGGCGGTCTCATAAAAGACCCATACCTATATTCGTATTCACACTCCTGCCGTGGGTGTGTGGAGTGCACGTGTGACCTTTAGTGTGGTCCACATGCAAACCACACCCACCCACACCCACACACCCACATCCACACCCACACCCACACGCACACCCACCCACACCCACACCCACACCCACCCACACCCACACCCACACCCCACACCCCACACCCACCCACACTCCACCCACACCCACACCCGCCACCCACACACCCACACCCACACCCACCCCCACCCACACCCACACACCCGCCACCCACACCCACATCCATACACTCACACCCACACCCACACCCATACCCACACCCTCGCTCTTCTGTCAATTGCGAAAGAAAATTATTTTAAGATCTTATGTCATACTTCCTACCACGTATAGAAAGATGGAAAAAGTCAAGCGGGGGTGTGGATGCAAGTGCGCAGGCTTCACACCCTTCTATGCAACCACACCAACATCCTATGGTGCTGGAAACTTTCGACTGGTACATAATTATGGAATAGAAGCTCTCCATAAAGTATACAAAAGAAATCTTATGAACAGAAGGGTGTGGGTAGGCGTGCGGGCGACGAGCGCCACCCACCCGCAACCCACACCCTTCTGTTCATAAGATTTCTTTTGTATACTTTATGGAGAGCTTCTATTCCATAATTATGTACCAGTCGAAAGTTTCCAGCACCATAGGATGTTGGTGTGGTTGCATAGAAGGGTGTGAAGCTTGCGCACTTGCATCCACACCCCCGCTTGACTTTTTCCATCTTTCTATACGTGGTAGGAAGTATGATATAAGATCTTAAAATAATTTTCTTTCGCAATTGACAGAAGAGAGAACAAGACGCAAAAGTATATAAGCTTTATTTTCGTTATTATCGTTTCATTTTCAAACTTCGTCAATACAAGTATGTAGAAAAGAAACTAAATTGTTGACGATATGAAATCT